TCGTCAGTTTTCTCTGTCGCATTGCGGAAACGTGAATGTATGGCAGTATTCAGTCTATTTGTACTATATGTCTATGGTTTGCTACATGCATTTTCGCTTTTATCTTTTATGTGACAAAGTTATCAGCGATATCTAAATAGCTCCAATCCTTCAAAAGTATATGGTTTTATTGTTACATTAATGCTCCATTCTATATCATACCTTTTGTCTGTTAATGAACTTTTATTTGGTTTTCTTGTTATTGACTATAACACCGTTTTTTTTATGCTAAAAGCATTATTCAATATATTATAATGTGTAATTTCTCTGGCTGCTGACGAACAGAAGTTTTTATTAACTTTTCTTTAATATAATTATGTATGCAGATTTGTATTTTGATCTTCTCACGGTGCTAAAGAGCAAATGTAATAGTTTATTGTATTTTTCCATAAGATTTCTAGTTTTTCACTGTGTCATGGCTCCTCTTATTTCTTTTCCTACGATTTACATTAATTCATTTAATTATTATTTCTGAAATTTCAAGTTTATACACAGTTTCTTTTGTTCCCCATGTTATTCATTCTTATCTATCTATCTATCTATATAAGGATTTTTACAGCTGTCGCCGCCTTCCTTCTTTCAGCCAACGTCTCCAGTCCTCTCTGTTCTGCCATTCTCCATCTCCAAGGTCTCGTTTTTCCATGGCCTCGTCCACTTCATCCCTCCATGATCTTCGGGGTCTACCTCTTTTTCTCCTTCCTATTGGGCTCCAATCCGAAATCCTTGCTATCCACCTTGTATGATCTGTTCATTCTTATCTATAGATGTGCTTATTTCCTATCAATTATCTATCAATATTTGAAGTCTTTTTTTAATTGTTTTAGTCATTGTAATGATTCGCATCCGTACATAAAAATAGGTCTAAAGCTTGTATTATGCTCTAAACTTCTTCAGTGGTAGTATTACCAACTGCGATTATTGTTCTAAGATATTTAATGTCTTCCATACTTTCGAAATTGAAATTGTTGACTTTAACGTTGTATCTAGATTTACTGACGGTCTCTTATGTTTATGCGCTGGTATTTGGTTTTCACTTCGTTGATTTTACTTGAAACTTTTTTCGTGCTCTCTGGACTTTGTTCAGTATGTCGTTTACATATTTATAGATGTAATCATCAGCATAACTAGGAGCTGCTTTGTACCTTGGGCCGTTAATGGATTACATCGTAAATCGGCGCTGTTTCTATTTTAATAAATTGTTCTTTAATTTTTTGACTATTTAAATCGAGAATCTGTATTTTATTCGACTGTTTATTAAGGCAGAGTTTCTTGGGGCCAATTTCTCTCTCAAGGTTTTTGTTTCCCGTATCAATATTACAACAATTTTGCTGGATGCCGACATAGGAAAACCGTTGGTATGTACATACTGTTTCGATATCTTTTTGTCCCGTTATAAAGTGAATATTAGTTTATTAGGAAATATGATATTGTCTAATAATAGTTAAGTTGTTTTGCTTTGCATTCTCAGACTGCTACCGTCGTGCCTTCGGGTATTTGATATTTCAACCGTCAAGCAACAATTCCTATATGCATTAACTTAATGCTGATATCCTGCTTCCCCAATCCAGTTAGCAGTCCCGAAACCAATAAAATTGCTACATTCAAGTTTTCTATTAAGCTGCCCAGAACTATAGGTACGCCTTATTATCTTACTGATGTTAGTGCTGCCCCTTATAAGTGAATAAAATATGAAAGGAAGATTTTGGTAATTTAATAAGATCCTTGTGTTACAATATAATGTCTCCGAGAAAGTAAAGTAATATCAAAACGCTATTCGGATTTAATCCGTAGCTAAAATATTAGAATGCTATAAAATAATGCTATATATTAGCATTAAGCTATATATATTAAAGTTTATAATGGATACTTAAGTTTGAAAATAATTAGAGCAAGTAATTTAAATTATCAAAGTGCTTATTAAACATAAAAATAAAATAAAATTATATTAACAATTTATATTATAATATATTTAAAAACAGTAGCCAAATATTCTTGGAATTCCTCGATGACTAACCTGGTGGATATTTAAATAAATTTTAAGTTCTAAAATGTACCTGCTCTAAAAATTGAAAATCTACGACTAATACAACTACTGGCAACATCGCAGGAGCTTAGTTGTGTACGCTAAAAGCTGTATACGGATCCCAAAAATGTTTTATCCAGTTACGGAGTCCACATGATTCGACGTGTTGGTCGGAGTCCACATAAAGCGCTACTCAGATAATAATATACACGGCGTATATTCTCCTGGAGTTAGTATAATACCGTTTTAGTACGGAGCCCACATTAACCGCTAGAAGTATATATATATATATATATATATATATATATATATATATATATATATATATTCTTTTACTTGTTGTATAGTTGTTTGTGCAATTGTAATTAATAATTCTTCTGGTTGGTTGGTCATAATTTTCGTTTTATTATAATTCATTTGTAGATTTATCTTTGTTGATTCGCTATTTAATTTACCATGATATTTTGTAATTCTTCATATTACTACAATGTCGTCTGCACATCTCAAGTGATTCAAGTATTGGCCATTTATGTTAATACCCCATTTTCTCGTTGTAATTTCGTCATAACGTTTTTCAAAGCTTGGTTGAATAGTTTGGGTGATATAGTGTCATCCTGTCAGACTCCTCGCCTTATCTTAATAGGCTCCGTTTGTTCAACTATTTTAATGGACGTTGTTGCTTGATCATATATATTGGATATTCAGTCCGTAAATCTATAGTCTATTTTCCCATTTTATAAACAGTTTTTTAAGTGAGAAAAATTGTCATTTTTTGTCAATAATTACAGTCTTTAAGATTTTGTCCAATGTAGCAATCCCCTAGTAAAATAGAACGAATAAACTTTTCTTTTCGTGGACTTTTCTGTGAAAATCATCAATTTCCATTGATTGTTTTCCTTCGTGTTTTTTTGGCTCAGCAATATTTCTTTGTTTTCTTTGACTTAAAAATCTGAGAAAGATTCTTTTATTAACACCTGTCACATCGACGCACATAGTGACTATATCTGAAACAGTTGTTGAAAATTGTTAACGAATAAGTGAGTCATGTACATTTAAAACAATAGTTTTTTCCCTAAAAGAGTATGTGTCCTTTTTAAATTTAGCTGAAGATTCTTCTTTTTCCTCTTTATAAGCAATTTTTCTTGTTCATTGACATCCTAATGACAATCTTAATGATTCTCCTTTAAATACATGTACTTATTTTTAAAAAAACAGAGTTAGAAATCAGACAAGTACTTTTTTCTATAATTGGTTTTAAACTAGAAATTGATTATTATTTATAATTTGTAATTAATTAGTAAAATAAGCCCGAAAAACTGGCTAATTGGCAATTCCAAAGCCATTATACAATAAAAAAAGCCTAAAAAACAAGTTTCAAATAAAAAATATGAGGTTTACAAACCTTACACCAGTTTTGACACAACAGTTTTAGGAGTTTTTTATTTCCAGGGATATTTTTCAAATGTATGTTTAACTGAAATGAAATCGTAGGCTTCCACGGCCAGAGTCAGAATTATAATTTATTCGTCTTCCGGGTTTGGACCGTGTCATTTGTGAGTGACCCAAAAGTGGGTTCATCTCGACGTTTCGCTACAATTGTATGTAGCTTCTTCAGGAGAACAAAAAAAGGAAAAAGAAAGAAAGAAGAAAACAAAAGAACAGGAAGATGGGTAGTTTGCAACGGTAACTCAGTTACTCAACGCAACCAGATGCGAATACTAACTACCAAGATGGGCATTTGGTCACAGTAACTCAACTACTCAACGCAGCCAGAGGTGAAAACCAAATGCCAGGACAGGGCATACTACTTGTCTCCCATCTGGAATCTCAGTCTAGAACCGCTATCCGGTCCCGCCACCACGATGCAGCCACATGATTGGCCAGCGCGCGCTTCTTGACGTTCGCGCCACGAAGTGTGCCGATACCTCCCGACACGACAGGCACCGCGACTATAAATAGAGCGGTAGCGGAGTAATCGTCGGATTCACTCCCCGCCTCTCGACGCGTTAGTGTTCTGAGCTGTTGGACGTGAATCCCTGTCCTGGCATTTGGTTTTCACCTCTGGCTGCGTTGAGTAGTTGAGTTACTGTGACCAAATGCCCATCTTGGTAGTTAGTATTCGCCTCTGGTTGCGTTGAGTAACTGAGTTACCGTTGCTAACTACCCATCTTCCTGTTCTTTTGTTTTCTTCTTTCTTTCTTTTTCCTTTTTTTTTGTTCTCCTGAAGAAGCTACATACAATTGTAGCGAAACGTCGAGATGAACCCACTTTTGGGTCACTCACAAATGACACGGTCCAAACCCGGAAGACGAATAAATTATATGTTTAACTGAACAAATTACAACACAATTTAAAAAAAAAAACCTAATTAGTTTCAACAATATTCGAACGGCAATGGTTTATGGCCTTGAAGACCACCCTTTACCGGCTGTTGGATTGATTTGTATTTGTAATGAGCTACCAATTGCAACCAACTAGACTATAGATATCTAGAAGATGCCCTTCTTTTTTGTTTTTTCAGATATAAGATCAATAATCATTAATGTTAAAAGTAAAATTCTCAAGTTATAAACGACTTTAGGGTTAGTTTAAATGAATAATAAAAATGCGGTATTAGAACAAAAATTTCTATAATTTTTTCGAGTATTTTTTTCAAAAGTAATATAGTAAAGTATTTTTTAACCTTCTAATCTCCTCCGTGATCTCCAGTAGTACTCTTTTATGTTAAGATACCATTTATATGGCTTTATTTAAAATTCTATGTTGATAAAAACTATAATATAATTATTACTCTAATAAATCATGATTTATGACGTATACAGACTTTTATTTTGCGTTTACTGTAATCAGTAGTATCTATAAGACGGAATAGTACTGATCATTTCATTAAAATGTAAATATTTTAAGTTTATTATTTAAATTGAATATTCTATTATAGACGAATGCGCGAATCTGACACCGGCACTGACGAGGACAACGTTAGACAAGATAGCGGTTCACCAGCATCCTCTGACGGTATCTTCCAGCCCCGAATCCACCCCGACGAGTCGCCCTTCGACGCCGCCCAAGCCACAAACGAGAAAGTGGTGGAGGATTCAGCTGCGTTGCAGTGTGTCCATACCGAGGATATCGCTACGAAACCCTGTTGTCACGCATGCGGCGCCCCAACACAATATATTCCCATTCCAGTCCCTGTCCCCATCCCGTTCCCAGTGCCGGCCATGTGGCCCCCCCACGAACCACCACTGATGGTCTTCGGCGAACAGCGCTTTCGGGTACTACCGCGCAACCTATGGCCGTACTTGAGTCAGGCCGCCCTTATCTGGCCAACACTCGGTGCAAACGGTGGTACCGGCGGTACCACTATGCCCGCGACCACTGACCGTGATGCCTGTGCTCTGCCAACACACGAAGAGTCCGATAACGTGTCGCCCGCGCCGGTTTTACAAGCGGAAGAACAAATCTCCGGCTATTTGGAGTGCGAAAATCGATATGAATCCTCCAGCGACTCTTCGAGTGATTCCAGTGACAGTTCAAAACCGCGAGTGCGTCGCGTTTACAACGTTAGCGGTACTGACAGACACAGCGATGACGCTTTGCCAAGCAGCAACGTTTCCAGTGACGGTGAAGAAGAAGATGGGCGAATGTCGCAAAGTTCGGTCCGGGAAGACGACATGACGTCATCGGGATCGGCAGACACCGACAGTGATGATACCGGTACCGTGGCTGATCAAAAATCCAAGCGATTTTCGAGAATATTTGTAGTAAATAAAGTTATATCGTCCTCTTCGAATTCTTGTAGTTCAAGCAGTGATACTGATACTTCAGACAACGATACTGATACTGAACTGGATTGCACTGTCATTTTGACCAACGTGAAACAACTGGACGAAGAAAATGACAATCAAATCTGTGATAACAAATCAAGTGATAAAATTAGTGAGAAAATTAAAGAAAGAGAGTATGTGTCGTCGAGTCCGGGACTTTCAGATGTCAGTGCCGAGTCTGTACACTCCAGTGATGTCGATCAAACTAAAGATGACAACGACACAAAAGATTATATTTCCGAAAAAGCAGAGAAAGTGGAAGAAAAAATTGAACCAGTAGTAACATTGAAAAATTTAAACGAACAGAAGGATACAGAGAGTGAAGCAAATAATATAAACACACAAGAAAATGCATTAGTTGTTGATAGTAAAAAGAAAGACGGTGATGAAGGAAAACAAGGAAAGAAAAAATGGAATCTCATACGCGTAACAATGCAATTCATTAAATCTGAGAAAAAATTCAGTTTGGTCGAAAAAAGAGTTGATGATCTTTCAAAAGCAAATAAAACTTTGGAACAACAAACGATGAGTGACAATGGTGTTGAAGAAAATGGGGAAAGTTTCGACAAAGAATTTAATAGTGTTTGTGAAAATAATGAGGAGGTTTCAAACAGTAATAAATCAGTGGAAACTGAGGTTAGCTTGAATAAGGAAAGTTTAAATGACGAGAATCCCTTAATTATATCTCCAATATCTAATAGTAACGATGAAAAGTTAACAAAGGTATCGGTGTCGAACACATTAACAAGCAAACCCCTGGAAAAAATGTCGATAAATAAATTTGATAATAACCATAGTAGTGAGGGCGATCCAGCTGCGAAAACGTCATCAATTAGCGATTCAGGAAAAGTTATCCCATACAAAAAATCGACGGGTAGTGTAAAATTGTCGGACGTTCTGCTCAGTGGTAAAGCACCGTCATCCTCGAAAGGTGTAATTAGTGAGTCCGTAGAAGCCATCCCCGTAATTGGCGCTATCAGCTGTGCAGATAATGAGCGGCCGGTGGACGCCGTCTCCAGCGGGGAAACTCCGGCAGAAGCGGCAGGCGCCGATGACCAGCGTGCGCTCGGTGAACGGAACGAGATCCGGTCTAGCGATGCCGTTAACGTAGAGGGGAACTCGTTGCACGATCGTAACGACGGTGTTCAACCAGGTGCGATAGTCTGCGGCGAAGGTTTAGCGCGGCATGCTGCCCGATACACGAGTCTAGTGATGATAACGCAAGATCCCGCCCCCGATTATCAACAAGTGAGTGTCGTCACCTCGGATACCACCACCCTGGTGCCTGGAAACGACGTTGTTGTGAGGCACACCAACTGGCAAGAGGCCGATAATAAGCGACACCAAAAAATATGCGGTAAGTTTATTTCTTTTTTGTTGTCAATGACATTTTGTTGCTGTTGCAACGCTCACCGACTTTCTTTAACAGTTCAGCGCGTTTTTGCACTCAAATAAAAACAATTTCTCAGTATACACCTGGCAAAAGGTTTATTTCACTGGTTGCTATAAATGCTGTGCAATTACTTGTATTTTTATCTTATCAGCTTTTGCAGTAGCGCTTTAAATATTGCTTTCAGTGCTGCCATAAATATTATTTAGTCTTGAACCGTAAAAAATATCGAAAAATAATGACAATAAAAATTCAATTTAGTTTATGTTTACAAACAATACTGCTATCAACAAGGAATCTGTTTTACATGCTATTTAGTTCATGTTTAATTCTTTTGTTTATTTATAATTAAATACAGAGTGGCCCAAAAGTTTGGAAACGGCCAATTTTCTCGTAAATTGCTTGTCATAATTGTACAAAATTTGAGGTACACCTATTTTGGGATAAGGAGATTCCATATTTGATATTTGCAATGTTGCCAGATTTGCCGTTTCTCTTATACTTAACTTTGGTTTTTCAAATTCATCACCCTGTATATTCAGTCATTATTTAAATCTCCTATTCAATACGAGTTCAATCATATATAACACTCATGATTTTATGTAGTCTGGAAGGTCTTAAATACATGAAACAGAAGTCTGGAAACGCCTAATTGTCTCAATAATTTTTTTATTACTAACTATTTTCAACTGCCTTAAAACGTAACAACTGATATATTACAACATTTTTTAACATAATGGTTACTTTATCAAGTGTTTAAAGTGTGCTCCATTTGTAGGTTGACAGTACCCTAATCAATGGTAGAATGCCTCTACCAGATTTCTCCATGATTATCTTGAAATTATTCGAGATTCATCCATAATTTATTGCCCTAGTTCTGCAAGACTTGCTGGTTTAGTTTTGTAAACTGAATTTTTTAAGTATCCAAAATAAAAATAATCTTTAGGATCGAAATCAGATGAATGTGGAGGCCGTTCAGTTCTACCTCGTCTACCAATCTATCATCCGGGAAATATCTCATCTAAATAACGCTGATCATTCACAACAAAATGAGCTGGAGTTCAATCTTGCTGCATTTTTGATTCAAATTGGTCCCAAACAAGTTTCTCAATGTAGATACAATTTCATTTCTACGTAACATTTCGTAACTATCTGACGTTAAATTTCCTTCGATTAAAAAAGGGCCCAATTAACTGAGTACCTACTATTCTTGACCACACAATAAATTTTTGTGGTCTTTGAGGTTGGTTTTCACGCATCCAGTGTGGATTTACGTCACTCCAGTACATTAAATTTTGTCGATTTACACTTTCACGCAGTGTAAAGGTAGATTTATCGGAAAAACATATTCTGTTAACGAAATTTTTATCATTTTCAATTTTATCCATCATTACCCTTTTTTCACTTAATTCTTGCAATAAGTTAATTTTGTAGATATGGTTTAAGTTTATTCTTACGTAATACACGTAAGACTGAAGAACGACCTACATCATGTACTTGTACAACCCTGAGTGGGTGAGTATGTATGTGGATCTTTAACAAAACTATACATTATATCTAAAATTTTGTTGTCATTCATAACTTTTTTCGGTCTACCTGATCGGTATCTATCTTTTACTGCTTCAGATTCCTAAAATCGCTTTACAGTTTTTTTGTACCGTCTTCTTATGAATAGGAGAACGGTTTGGAAAAGTATCACTGAACAAGTTGGCTACTTTGATATTTTTCTGTCACCGTACCCTCTCATCATTAGAATAGTAATTCGTTCTTTTTCGTTAAAAGCCATTTTAGAGAAGCAATTTATCTTGCAGAACTTTTCGAAACACAACTACTGTCAGTTTTAGTTAATAATGTAAATGGTGAACAAATATCAAAATCTCAGCATGCTACATTTAAATATTTAAATTTATTAAAATCTACATATTTTGCAATGTCTTTTGTATTTAAAACCTTCCAAACTACATAAAATCATAAGTGTTACATATGGTTAAACTCGTATTGAATAGGAGATTCCAATAATGACTAAATATACAGGGTGATACATTTGAAAAACCAAAGTTACTAATAATATAAGAGAAACGGCAAATCTGGCAACATTGTAAATTTCAAATATGGAATTTCCGTATCTCAAAATAGGTGTACCTCAAATTTTGTATAATTTGTATAATGCACTCTGTATATGTGCCTACATTAATGAGCAAATACTTTGGATAACTTTGAAATTTCCATAGTTTTTTCTCGATTTAGTAACCCTCTCTCAGATTTTTTGACTAATAGCCTTGTAGTCGAGTTTCTCTTAGGCATCCTTCATTCCTCCTTCCTGTTAGATTCCAGTTTATTATTCGGTATTACCATTCTGTTGTAAAAGTCTATATATTTCTAATTATAGTCGCAAATAAAATAATAATTCTACTAGGAGCTTCTTCTTCATCGTCTGTCAAGTATTCGTAAATATCTCTCTCTATATCATAGGTAAAAATTTCACCTGCATTTCGAATTCTCGCTGCCACGACTGTTGATTTATCTCCAGACCTCTTTTTCCTTGTATCCTACCCATTAAAATCAATCTTAATATGTCACCTCACTTTATTAATTCTAAATAGGAAACTTTTTGTTGTTTTGTAGTTTCTAAAAGGTCACGTTCGGTTCCAGCTCTTCTTAACACTTCCTCGTTTGTCACATGATCAATCCATCAGATACTGAGTTGTTTACGCAATGTCTACATTTAATTTCAGAGGGCATGTTAACTGTTGCTGATCTTTACATCGCTTTTTTATTTTTATTTCTACATCAGTATTTACACTGCCCCTAAAAGTATTAGAAAAACTTAAACTCCAATAAGTTCTTTTTTTAATAACGAACAAAACTTTTTTATGTCATACTAGTTTATTATTTTGTTTTTATTGCTTAGTTACCAACTACTTAATAGTGTACTTTATGCCCGCGCGGGCATAAAGTGTACTTTATGACCCGCACGGGCGTAAAGATACAAACAAAAAGATAACTTATTAGAAACATCTTTATTTAACAACATTTCAAAACATTATTAAGAATTCAAATAAGTCTGGCAATTCTGAAAGGATCCGGTGATATTTAGATTACCCGCCATGTTTCATAGCTTGGGTGTTAAGTTTCTGTAAGGAAACGCCGCATCCAGAAGGTATGCTTGCTAGCATTCTTGAAACCTCATTATGTGCTGTTCTCTAAATATCTTTTAGCAACCGACGTACTCTTCCATCCACCATGGCGCTTCAACGTGGTCATACTGGCTCAAGTTTTTGCCAGAAGAGTTGCCGAAGTCCGACGCAGGCAATGAGCTGTGTACTTCTCAGGACTGCTCAAAGATATTTCCCGGCCAGTGAAAACTATGTAGTTATTCATATTTGAATGCTTCTAGCTGCAATGGAAGTAATATAATTATACGCGATAATGTAAATTTTTCCTACGTGTTTCAATTTGAAGTTCCGATCTCGAGAAAAAAAAACGGAGCTAAAACAGTTATCCCCTGTACTTTCATATGTCGATCTTTCGAAAGTAACTTCGTTTCTGTACCTGTAAGTTTCGAAAAATTGGATGAATTTTATAGCTATAGCTTTCAATATAAAGTTTAGATTTTCGTTCAAAATTTGTGCAAATTTTACTTTTTAATGTTTATAAACAATGGAGATATGATTTTTTTTAAATAGTCCCTGAAAACTCAATATGTATTTAACTTCTGAGATAGTTTAAGTCTTAAAGAATCCTATGAAATTGGTAAATGTCTCTAGCATCATTAATAGTGCAAGTTCATCATCATCTTTGGGTTTACAACCCTGGGTGAGTCTTAGCCTGTTCAAGAATTGCTCTCCATTCCGCCCTATCTTTCGCCCTGGTTTTCCAATTTCTGACTCCTAGATTCCTCAAGTCATCTTCTACTTGAGTTTTAAATCTAGATCTAGGCCTGCCTCTCTTCCTGGTTCCTACTGGCTCTTGATATAATATCTGTCTTTGGGGGTCTCCAGTGTCCCTCAATAGAGCAAGTTGAATATTTAGCCTTAGAGATAAATAAATTAAATAACTTCTAAACTATTTGACCGATCGGGGGGAAATTTCTCATAAATTTAAAAGACGGTAATTCCGTGATATTCAAATTTATTAATAACATTTTATTTTTTTAATAAAAAAATTAATAAAATTTATAAATTAGTGCAAAAAACTGTTTTTTGCAAATATCTCTGTAAATTATGTATCAATTTTAATTTAAAAAACGGGAAACTAAAGATATTCTTAATATAAAAAAATGATATAAGGGAAAAACTTATAGACAAAAAATCAAATTGTGAACATAAATTAATGTTAAAAAAAAACAAGGTAAAAATACGTGTACCTACTTTTTCATCTATTTGTCATCTAGTAACCCCTACCTATGTCTTAAAAGCTTCAAATATCTGCGAAAAATTTTGCCGTGAAATCGATTATTTTTCGGCTAATTTCAAACACATAAAATCTATAATCCACAATAAAAATGAAATTCCTGTAGTTGGCTGTATATTTATTGTGATATATTTATTCTAAAACTGCCCTTTCGGGCTACATCACAGAACGTTTTCGGACTAATAAGTTTCCATCAATGCAATTACCAGCTATACTTGAGAGCATTTAGTGGCTTCCCTTCCATAAATTAATTAGCAGAATGAGGAAAACTCATATGGTCAAAATAGCAAGAGAAAAATCATTAGTCATCAATCCGTAGAAGAAGTATGAGATTACCACGCAAAAGATGGAGTGGAAATTTTCCATAGAGGTATCAATCCTCCAAGAACCTAGCAGAATTGCTTATAAGGAGAAAAAAGAAGCCGCAGACTTTTTTACATTCTCAACCGTGTAGATTAAACGACACGATTACTTTAAACAACAATATGAAGAAAAAAAACTGTCTCATTATTAGTAGAAACTTGAATAATTCGAATCTCAAGAGACCGTTAAAA